GGAAATAATCATAATAATAAAGCCCTGCTTTAATTTACTATAAATACATTGGCCTAGACATTATGAATTTTCCAGAATCCTTCCAGAGAGCAGCTCTGTTGGCAACAACAATAAATAGGCATGCTAAACTCAGTTCTTATCCTTTTCTACAAGTCCCTCCAGCACAAAAAATCGATCTTTTGAAATCAGTAGAGCTGTAATGTTTCCAAGCAAGATGAGAAATGGGTCATTTTGGCTTCCTGGAGCTTTTCAGCATCTATGCAAGTGTAGCCTCAACTTTTGTAAATCTGTCAGGTGGATCTTGTGATTTAAACAGGTCCTGATCATTTGGAGAGGTCTTACAGGAAGGCGCAGGCAGGTTTGACTTATTTCTGGAGAAAGGACTTATTGTTGGGTGTGGTATAGCTGGGACTATAGGTACTGACCAGGACACTGGCTAATTTTTCTATTTTTTTTTTTTTTTTTTGAGACAGAGCCTCAAGCTGCCCCCCTGGGTAGAGTGCCGTGGCATTACAGCTCACAGCAACCTCCAACTCCTGGGCTCCAGCGAGTCTCCTGCCTCCGCCTCCCAAGTAGCTGGGACCACAGGCGCCCGCCACAACGCCCGGCTATTTTTTGGTTGCAGCCGTCATTGTTGTTTGGCGGGTCCGGGCTGGGGATTCGAACCCACCACCTTAGGTGTACGTGGCTGGCGCCTTAGCCGGTTGAGCTATAGGCGCCGAGCCTAATTTTTCTATTTTTAATAGAGATGGGTTTTCACTCTTGCTCAAGCTGGTCTCAAACTCCTAAGCTCAAGTGATCCTCCAATTGCCATGCCTCCATGTTTTAGGTGCTGGTTAATTGCACTGTGTTTCCTGTCATTCATTTGTCATGGAGCAAGGCAATTGGTTGGTTATAGGGCATCCCAAGGGGAAGTTGAGGCTATGCAAACTGAGTGCCTGGGACAAGCTTCCTCTAAGAAAAGAGGGTAGAGTGTCTCATGATAGAGAAGACAGATAGATGCCTCTCCCATACATTGCTTTGGTCTCAGATCACTCTAACAATGTAAAGCTCAGTGAGGAAAGAGTAGTTTGCTATAGAGTGCTGACACTTTTCATCCTTGTATTTTAATGCTTTTCTTTGTCCACCCACCACCCTCATTGTTGTCTATTCTGGCACATATTTAGTTTTCTTTTCACTGATTTATTTATTCATCACCTAGCACAAGACTTTACAAACTGGAAATTCTCCGTCATTTATTGAATGGACAAGTTCATGCGTGAAGCAGGGGATGGTTAGTTGTGGCTGCGTCTACCCCTAAATCGATTGAGCTTCGGTTTTCTTATCTGTAAAATGGGGATATCGTTTGCTTGCCTTATTTCCCTCGTAGCCTTTATTGTGAGTTCGAAAAGTACATCAGAGGGCTCTGCAGTTTATGAAGCGTGGTACAGATATAAAAGCTTATTAAATGGCTTGGAACGTTCGATAGAAAATATTGCTGGCCCAGACACTGTTAGAAATGTTCTTAGACATTGACACTCCTATTTTTTCACATGTGCTTTTCCAAAAGCTGTTTTCTCCTGATTGGTGTGGGAGATTATGGGAAATTTTAAATCTTCCAACCTACATACTACTGTTAGCACTTGACTAATTAAGGACATCCTCAGACCAAAATAATCCTTTATGCAATTTTGGTCCCAAAGCCTGCACTCTCACAAACCTGATTCACAAGCCAAGCTGCTTGGCCTGATGCCTGTAAAACTTGTACTGGAGGACTTGGCAGTCTTCTTTGGAACTGCATGGAGCAAAAACAGGGCCTTCTCATCAAATTGTGTATTGGAGATTGTTCTTCCTCCACCCACCAGGATGGTGTCAAACCAAGGAAACAAAAGCGGGACCAGTCTCTCAGACACCTGTTCTCAGGTCTGGGATCCCAGTGGTCACATAGTCTGGAAAAGCAGCATCCCCTCGGGACAGGTTATTTGGCTAAATATGGCTCATTCTGAGGGCACGTGTAAAGTTTACATATATGCAATATTTTTGTCTTTTGGAGGTCCTCTCCCCATATGGGTAGGCGTTCTCAGAAATCTTTTAAAAATTTGACTGTGTGCGGTGGCTCACACTAGTAATACTAGCACTCTGGGAGGCTGAGGGAGGAGGATCACTTGAGCTTAGGAGTTTGAGACCAGCTTGAGCAAGAGAAAACCCATCTCTATTAAAAATAGAAAAATTAGCCAGTGTCCTGGTCAGTACTTATACTCCCAGCTACTTGGGAGGCTGAGGCAAAAAGATTGCTTGAGCCCAGGAGTTTCAGGTTGCTGTGAGCTATGATGATGTCACTGTACTCTACTGAGCAACAGAGCAAGACTCTGTCCCTCCCCCCCCAAAAAAGGGCAATTCAGTGAGTAGGGTGCCAGCCCCATATACTGAGGGTGGTAGGTTCAAACCCAGCCCCAGCCAAACTGCAATAAAAAGTAGCTGGGTGTTGTGGCAGGTGCCTATAGTCCCAACTACTTGGGAGGGTGAGGCAGGAGAATCACCTAAGCCCACGATCTGGAGGCTGCTGTGAGCTGTGACGCCACAGCACTCTACCAAGAGCAACAAAGTGAGACTCTGTCTCTTAAAAAAAAAAAAAAAATTTTTTTTTTCTTTAGGTATACTTATGATATGTCCTGAAAGTTAAGTGCGCTTCCTTGCCACCTACTCTCAGACAACGGTCCTCTCCTGTAACTATCTGAACACTGTGCCTTTTTCTTACCTCTGTACAAATGGGCACCGGTGGAAGGGAGACTGAAACGCAGGGACGGGGATACCCAGGTTGCACAAATTTGGGGGTGGGGGTGAGCAAAGCCACACATTGCCCCAAAGTATCTTATTGCTGGGTTCTTACATTTTAGGTAAGGTTTTAGTTGTTTTGTGATGGATTCTTTTCTCTGTGGACAGGGAGGATATGAATGCAACTTTTAAAGGACTATAATTACTGGAAAGTCTGATCTGAAGAGACAAGCCCAGAAAACCAAAAGAATAAAAAAGAAAGGAAATGGGAGTGAATCAGCTGTTGTTTCTGAGTTTGTTTCCCACCTGTTAACAAAAAATGCCATTCTTAATCCACCTCAGAATTGGATTAACTTTGAAAAAAGTATATGTCTTCTGGGTTTATGAAGTTGAGTCAAGTTGGATCATACAGTGCACTGAAAGACAACGAAGAAAGACACGGATTTTTCTGCTTCTAATTCTTCCATTTGGTTTTTGTGCAACTCTGCAGAAAACAGACTTCACTCAGTTTCCAGCAAGAGAACAGTGTCCTCTGAAGCTGTCCGAGTGTTTCTGTCTCCCTGTGGTCATGTATTTGACGTGTGGGGAAGAATCTATAGTGCTGGTTGTACATAACTTCATGATGGGAACACATTTGTGAAAAAGTTTACTGCTTTTTAATCTAGGGGAAGTATTTCACATTAAAGCAGTGGTGCTCAACCTTCTTAATGCCTCCTAATGCCGCGACCCTTTAATATAGTTCCTCAAGTTGTGGTGACCCCCAACCATAAAATTATTTTTGTTGCTACTTTGTAACTGTAATTTTGCTACTGCTATGAATTGTAATGTAAATATCTGATATGAAGGATGTATTTTCATTGTTACAAAGGGGCCGCGACCCACAGGTTGAGAACCTCTGCACTGAAGTCTTAATTATTCAAGTATTTCTCAGCTTTGATGTTTGAACTGTCAACTTCCTTTAATAACTACTTTTTTCTCCTCAACTTAACAAAAACACACGTTGTGGTTAAGAGCTGTGATTTAACAACTGGTTGACGTCCTGGTTCCACCATTACCAGCTCTGACATATAGTGGACAAGCCAGAAGAACTTGTGGAAGCTTAGTTTTCTCATCTTCAAATGGGGCTAGCAGTTTTCATCCACTAAAGAGGAGACTATATGTAGGGCCTGCCTGGCTCAACCCTGGTGAGCAATAGACAGGCACAGGTGACAGCCCATGTTACATGTCTCTGGAGACCTTTACCAAGTCTGGAGATGAACTGGCTCTCTGGGATCAGGGTTTTGTGCCTAGAGAGTACCAAGGATGATGTGAAATGTACTTACACCCAAGAGATACTTTCTAGCTACTCATTTTGCATGACATATATTTTATCTATTAGACATTTAGTACGTTCAAATTCAGATTTTTTTTTTTAAGACTACACAGGCAAGATTTTTCTTCAAAATTGAATATAAGGCCCAGCCCTTTCAAGCCTTAAGCCAAACTAGATATGAGTAATCCAGCAAGAAGCATCTACATTGAAATGGGATTTCCCAGGTCAGTTTTAACCATAAGACCAAGATCAGAGTTTGTATTTATTTAGCTTTTGAGAAGTGGAAACTTCTTTTCCTCTACCCGCCCCCCTCCCCTTTCTCTCCCTCTCTCTGGGAGTGGCCTGACCTATTGCAGTGGCCAATTTTGAAGTGTTTCAGTACCTGAATGATTCCAAGGAGTGTGAATCTTTAAAATGGTTTTTGGTGTTTGACTGTGAGGTTTTTCCAGCATAAATTACCCCAGGGGGCCTCCTGGTAATGTGTGTTTTCTCTTGATAGACGGAAGTTAGAGACTGTTTCTCTAAAAGTGTAACATCACCGCACAGCACGCCTGCAGATATTAAAATTTCATGATATACCTAATATGTTTTATAGGCTAACTTACTGGTTTTTTCAAGCAAAACATCCAGATACCATGAGAGAAATTTAATCCTGCAGTCTAGGTTCACCTTAAAGCATTTACTTTTTCAAAGGAGAAAAAGAATCTGTTTAAACCAGTCCTGCTAACAGTTGAGCAGGGAATGACAGTTTCATACTCATAAACTGGGGGAGTGGCCACTAATGAAGAATAAATTGAGTGAAAGAAAATGACAACTGTTTACAGATTTTGGCAACATTTAAAGTAGGGCCCCTGCCCCTTATGCACAACAACTGTTTTAACAGCTGCTTTTTTTCTTCTTCTTTTTTCTCCCCTCCTGGAAATCCTTATATCAGGTTTTTGAGTCATGATGCAAGAATCTGGGACTGAGACAAAAAGTAACGGTTCAGCCATCCAGAATGGGTCGAGCAGCAGCAGCCACTTGTTAGAGTGTAGCAGCCTTCGGGAGGGGCGGTCCAACGGAGAGACGCCGGCCGTGGACATCGGGGCAGCCGACCTCGCCCACGTCCAGCAGCAGCAGCAGCAGGTACTGGGTGTTAGTTCCGGGGAGGTGGAAGGTGGTGGTGCGACTTCTACCAGTTAACTTGACCCTTGATCACTGTGGGTCTGTGCTCCTCTGTGTGCCCATCTATCTGCCTGACTGTGAGCAGCGTCTCCTAAGCCACCAGTCCTTTAGTGTCTCTGCTGGTCGGCTTAGGAGACTAATTCTCAGGCCTTGGGTTTTGTAGAGGCCTTGGAAGTCCTCCTAGAGCAGCAGTTCTCAACCTGCGTATTAAAGGGCCACGGCATTAAGAAGGTTGAGAACCACTATCTTAGAGGAAGCAGTTATTAAGCGTAAGATTGAAAGGACCTCTCCCTGCTCTCTCCTGGCCTCCAACGCGGCTGTCTAACCTGTAACTGCTTTGAATAAAATGACTCTGTGGAGAAATGATTCCTGCTGCTTTAATTAACAGGCAAAACAAAACAAAAATGGATAGGCTGAAGCTTTATGAAGAAGGAAACAAAATAAGAAAAAAGGGATAAAAAAGCCAAATAAGAGATAGAAAAGGGGAAAATGTTAGGTGAGTAGGGAGGGTCGAAACAAATAAGGCAGAAGACACCCGTGACACCGGCATCCGCGTGGGAAGCTGCTTCCCAGCCTGTAGGGATTTAGGGGTATCGGGCATTTATGTTAGGTTTCGTGCGTTGATATGGCAGTTGGTATGTGGCTCAGTTTTACTAATGTTTTAAATTATCTCGTATTTGTCCCTCTTCAAAATGGATGTAAGTTTGGAAATACTCATTCCTACTATATTCTTCATGGTCATGGAAATGAGTTACCTATAAATGACTGGTAAGATATTTCCAAATGGTACAATGTGACTCAAGAAATGATGTTTTGTTAGCAAAATGTTGACAGAAATTCACATAAGTAAGTAGTACTTCCTTAAAGCTTGGTTTTGGTTTCCCAGTCTCTCTGGGAGTCAGGGAATAATATTAGTTTTTGTTAATAATAATGGATGGTTTGTGTTCCATTTTTGTCCTTGATTTATTTATTCAATACATAGTTACAGTGCCATTTGGAAGCAGGTAGAAAAAAAGAATGATCTATCTTTGGGCCTTTCAGAAAGACACAGGATGGTGGGGTGGGGGAGAGAGAAGACAAACCTTTCTTTTCTCAGACCTTTTTATTGGAATTTGTATCAGAGGCCCTAAGGAAATACCTTCCTATGTTAGGGATGCAGCTTTTAGGCAGGCTCTGAAGCACGTTTTATTTTTTCCTTGCTAAGAATTTTTAAAAATATAAGGACTCATTAGATTGTTACCTACAAGTTGGTAGGACCAATATGATGCCTGTTGGGGGTAAGATACAACAGAGAGAAACACTAGCTCAGGACTTAATCCAGGGGACATCCTGTGAGTGATCTGATCTCTCTGTCATTGGCAACCCAGACCCATTTGTGCCTGAAGCTCGGGCTCCCTTTAGCTGGAATTTCTCAGTTTGTTGTGTATAAACATTTAAGTTAATGCAGATGGTCACGTTTTAACCAGTGAGGTGTTTAGCAAAGCCCCACATTAGCGTATCTGTGTATTTGCGCTAGCGTATTTTCATGTGGTGTTCTCAACTATTTATGAATATATTTCAAACAAACAGTTAATATTTTTGAGTGCCATCTTCTACGCTCTTACAAGGCACAGGTCAAAACTGACTGTTTCTTTATGGAGCATTTGGGATGGAACTGTTGACTAATGTGGTATGAATCCCAAATAATTAGTACTTAGAGTGCATTAATTAAATAAGTGGGAAATTAACTCCTCCTGGATTTTATTTCAGGAACTGCAAATTATTCAGGATCTCAAAGTAGCAAGCCAGACAAAAAGCAAAACACATACACACACACACACCAATGATAGCAATAATAACTGGCTGCATAGAACAAAGTTATAAAAGTGCAGTTCAACAGCTTCTTCCTTGAAAAGTATCAGTAGCAAAATTAGTTCTCTGTGTCTTTCCTCTTGACCTTGGCTGTGACCACTTTGGAAGATTTATTGTTGTGGGTTACTGACATAAAGGTTAAGAAACTGACTATGATTACACTTGGAAACTCTTTTCTAATATTTTATGACAATTTTATTTCTATTTGTCATTGATATGTTTTGGGAAGAAAGAAAGCAGTTGAGTCTATCATTGCAGCTAAGAGGGCCCCCCCCCCCCCCCGTTGTGGTTAGAAAGCCTTTTGAAGCCTTTTAAAATAAAATATTGACAGCTGTTTGCCTCCCCTAACTATATAAGGCTCTTAACAGGTTGTTAGAAAGGGAAATCTGTAGATGAAATAAGATTGAAAACTTTTCACAGGACTATAGTTATCAGTGTTTTCTTCCAAACTGAAAACTGCAACAATTAAACAGTTTGGAGAAATGTGAGCCTTCCATGATGGACTTTGGTTGTTTTCGTCATTTTTATTCTACAGGTTTGTACTTGAAGTGAGAATACCAGCAGTGAGAAAATCACAGCCATGCTGAATTCATTACTGCAGTAGTCACACAAAACCATGGATAAAATTTCAATAACTGCAGGCCACAGTTGAGTAAACAGTTGCACTGAAATTTAATTCCTGTTGACTTTTCCCCCATTCCTCGCCAGGGGCACATTCTGATTCCATAGTACAAAGACAACAGGGGTTACAGCTTTGATTAATGTAGGACAGTGGAAAAGAATTAGAACTGTAAAATATGTTAGAAGTCCACGGAGCACACAGATCTGGCTTAAAAGGGCTTGGTATAAAAATGAGTTAATTATGGTGTGTGTTTCAGTGAACGCTTCAGGATTTCCCAGTTTGCACCAGCACCATCATCAAGAATAGGGAGAGATTGTACCTAGTGCTGGGATCTAAAATAAATAAATGCAGACCTTTCTATATTTGCTCCATATTACCAAAGATCATTGCAAATATAGCACATGTCCTTTTCAGAATGGCGGGCCCTGACAAAGATTTATGTGTAGTGAGTGAGTTCTATACTGGGTTTGGTTTATAGATGGACTAAATTGGGTCCAAACCGAATTGGTTTAAACAACAACAAAAAAAAGTTGACAACATAGAGAAATGGGGAGAAATCTGGCTTTTCCATTTTCTCTTGAAAAATCAGACTATCTAGTAACCTTGGGTTGATAGCCCCACAAGGGCAACAATTGTTGGGAGATGAATTACTGCTTAAGACAGGGAGCCAGGGGCCCTGTAGCTTGGTCTGGTTCCCACCAAGCAGTGTTGCTCATGCCTGCTGGACAGTGGGGTTGGTGATTGTGGTCTGGGAGAGGAATCATCACTCCGAATCCATCAGCTAAAGAGAGGTGCTACCATTAGCTGGTAGAGCCCTCCACCACACTCACCAACTGTCTTCCTTCCTCAGAACTAAATGTATTCTCTCCATAATGTTTCCACCCTATTTATATCTGGGCTGTGAAACTAGGATAACAATAGTTTTTAAGAGTATAATTTGATAGTGTTTCTGAACTTTTTCTTTTATCCATCCAGTCATTCTTTACCCAATAGCATAACTGCCTTTTATTTCCTATTATGCCTGCCCCATTTCTATGTCTGTAAAAGTTCTGTATTAGATACGCACTGCTCCATTATGAAACTTACCAACAAATACTATTACCAATTACTCAAGTTTTTTTTTTTGAAAGGATTTTAAAATGTCCGGAGCAATTTCATAAACTGTGTGGATTAATGCATTTTAAAAGTCTTGAATTTTAGAAAGCAGAATTTTATTTCCATATTGCTGCAAATGAGAGCTTTCTCAGATAAGCATATTACATAGAGCATAATGTTTAGAAGTTTCTCCATATACAGCATATGCTGTCAGGTCAATTAACAGAATGCATACTAGAAAATGTTTATTCAATAAAAATGAATAGCTGTTAAATAAAACAGCTATTTCTTAACAACATTGCATTTAATGATGGGGTTTTTTTTAATTTTTTTTTTTTTTTGGTACCACCTGGCAGTTTTATTGTCTGCAGATCACTGTAGGGAGAGCTTTGATTGCTGTGGTTTTGAGATGCAGCTATCGTGTTATATGAGGAGGGCAGTGTAGGGGGAGTCTGTAAGAAAGACATTTTAAAAAGATAGACTATATTTGGAATGTGAACATGTATTTTTTAGAGAGCATGGATAAGAATTTAATTCCCATAGCGTCTCTGACATTTTGCTTAAGGTATAGGATCTTGAGGTCCAAAAGGCAGGGTATGTGTTTCAAGTTAACAACGTAAAAGAAGGAATATGAGAGGACTAGTAAGGAGTTGAGAGAGGTGGAAAGGTTAGGGAACTTCTCTTGAAGCACCGTAAAGGGGGATAAAGAGGAACCATCAGGTTCAAGTTTTCCAGTGAGCTACTGATGGAGGTCAAAAAATAGTCGTTTGCAGGACTGGAGAAGCTCCAAGAAACGGGGTGTGCATGGTGAGACTCAGAAAAACAATCTAGTCATGTACTGTCGAAGGGGGTGCAGAAAATGTAGCATTAGCAGAACCTGGGAGGATCACGAACAGATACCCTGGCGTCCACTGGACGCGGGAAATGGAGTTATTAGGACCGCAGTGTAATGTTTTAAAGGGAAGGTGGAGGTTCTTTTTTGTTTTAACATAAATACACACATTCTTTTTCACATTCAAAATGGCAGAATGTTATCCCTTCAACAGTTTTTGTTAGTGGAATTCCTGGCGGGTATTGAGGAGAAGAGGGAGGCTGTCCTCCCAAACATTTCCAGCTTTTTAACCATCTCCCTGAGTAACAATGTCTGCAAGAAATAGCTGTCAATGTTTGGATGGCAGTAAGCTCCTGTGCCTGAAAGGAGCCATCTCTCCACATATTACAGTTCCAGTGGCGTCCTTGACCTTATTTCTCACCTTACAGCAAGTGGGCCAGCTTACATGGTGTGGATCTATAGGTCTAGAGGCCGGGTAGCAGTAACCAGATTAACTGTACCATTTTTTTCTTTGAACAAGGTTGCTTTTGAACTTTGTTAGGAATGCCCTCAAGTGGCCTT